CCTTCCTTCCTTCCTTCCTTCCTTCCTTCCTTCCTTCCTTCCTTCCTTCCTTCCTTCCTTCCTTCCTTCCTTCCTTCCTTCCTTCCTGAGATGCAAAACACCTACATTTCCTACACTTAAAACACCCTTCTGGAATGGCCCAAAATATAATTTTGAGTCATGGTGGTGCTAGTGGTTTAAGGATGGGAGAGGTTTGCCTCCTAGAAGCCACTCACTCTCATTTCCATTTAAAAAAGGAAAAAGCTGTACTGACAAAAATAATCTATCTTGCCACTGTGTTTTCAAGGTACTGTGACAACATATGTAGATTGAGGATTGTCTACCCTGATCTATCTAGGTGGTTCATTATAGAATAACCAAACATTCACTTTATTTATTTACCTCTAGGCAGCCTGAACTAAATACAGTATATAAACAGCTTACGGTACTTAGTCTGTTTGCTCTAGTAGAGCCTTCATTCCCCAATTAACTTCTATTTCTATTGTTCCCAAGTTCTTTGTTACTATATTGCTCCTCTTATTCCTATTCACCTATTAGAATCACATTTTATTACATTTCTCTTCCTAGAAGTGTTTTGCCTGGATGATATTCAGCATGAGAGTTATACCACATCTTTAAGAGATGTTTCTGATATTTCACTGGTACCAACTTCAAACCTTTGCAGTTCATTAGAGGAATCAGTGGTATATGGTTTGAACATAGCTGGAAGGATTCCTGTCTATAAAGGTACCTTGAGAAAAATTCACAAGCCCACAGTGCTGCAAGATACTCCTTCTCAATTTGAGCATAATGTGTTCCTGGATCTCTGAAAGTTTGGAACTATAGGCTATTGGTTTTAACGTCTGAACAATTCAGATGATACAAATCTTTCAAAGCACTGCACCATGCATAAAATCTCAGCTCAGCTATAGATTCTGGGGAATTAACTCCTGAAATAGCTTCCACTTTCTTTGGATGTGGCTCACTTTATGCTCGTTTATGTGATACCCAAGATATGTGAGCACTTTCAGCTGTAGGAAGCATTTGCTTTTGTTGAGCATTTGTTTAGACCTGCACTTTCTGATTGCTAGAACTGCAAACAGTCTCTGGCCATGCTAATCCTTAATAAGGCTTCGGAACAAGGTACTATCCATGAACACTAAGATGCCTTTTTTCAGAAAAGCAGAATTTCCCTTTGGAATAAGCTGAGAACTAGAAACTCAGAACTGAATGTTTTAAAGAAGAATATACTGAATTGTGTAATAAATGTAATTGATTTGGCCCAATCTGGATCTAACTGAATTTTTCAAAATCCATTGGAAGCAGAGAATACTTTTACATTACTTGTGGATGTAATCTATATTAGGAAGGATGTTGTTCTCTTTGTCCAGCTTTTCAAATTTATTTATACATGTGCAAATTTTCCTGTTTTTTAAGGATCATTACTTCAATCTACCACATAGAACCATCCTCCCTAATTCAGCTTTTACTTGGGGGACAGTGCAACTAATATTATTCTGGCTTAATGGATTGTACAGTAAATAGCTCCTTCCTTTAGCTTCATATTAATTAGAAGACTCATTAAACTTTCTAGTTCTTTGTGAAGCTCAGTGAACAGTCTTTCATATGGTGCCCTACATCTGTGCCACAAATGCTTCTCTCTCTTGGCCAGTGTTTTTCTACCTTGGCAACTTTAAGATGTGTGGACTACAGCTCCCAGAATTCCCCAGCCAGATTGGCTGGGGAATTCTGGGAGCTGAAGTCCACACATCTTAAAGTTGCCAAGGTTGAGAAACACTGGTCTAGACTATGTCTTTTCATTACATATAGCTTGAGCTCATATTTTTTGTCTCTGTACTAGATATTGGCTACAAAATACTTGTAAAGTTTTGCTATTCTGGACCACAAAGGATGCGGTACTCTGCTTGAGATGAAAAAAAAATGCGCAGGTTTTTCAATTTTTCTCACCTTTTAAATGTGATGAGAGTTGCAAAAAGATCAGTTTTTAAAAAACATTTATAGCATTCAATTTTTTTAAATTAGTCATTATACCTTAAATATCTTTTCCCATAGTAAGTATAACTAGTCCTTCATCTATTTTGATACAGACTGATTTGATCTTGGGGCAAAGCATATCTGGCCTTATTTCTTCTGGTCTGGGTGGCTGCACTCTTCAAACATTTCCTGCAGATCCATTCAGATTTCTTGGTCCTGAATTTGGTCTTTGATCAATTCCGAGTATCTATCATCTACATAGTCTCTCCTGAGGCTAAAAGAGTTTCTGTTTGTAGCTTTTGGGATAAAACCTTGTTGAGTCCCCCTACTAGGTTCACTTTTGTTGTCTCCAAACCTGTACTCATCTGCTTTCTCATGCCTTCTGTAGGCCCCAAACAATTTCCTTGGGCTTTTTTGTCCTTTGATGAATACACAAAATATGTGCATTTCTCTTGGGTACAAACTATCCATCAAATTTGCTAAAGACAAATAGACAGTCATTCTTAATTGCAATAGCAGCAAAGGTAAAAGAGATAAAAATTCTTTTCTACCTGTGCCCACATGGCATAAATGAAAGCACATTCCTGGATTTCTTTTTCTTCTACACTGAGTTTGGTAGCAAATCTGTAACAGGAGAACTGCTTCCAATCAATCTAGCCAGCAGATTGGCTAAATCAAAGGCTTCTGGTGGGGGAAATTTTGTCATGCTTAGACCTCAAATTTGTATGGTGGTCAGACTTCTGAATGCTGTATTTGTTCTTTATAAGATGGCTGGAAACTTTCAACTGAATAACAGTGCAATACAATAGCTAAGTATGTAAACTGCTTACAGTTTTTTTTCCATCTGCCTTTCCTAGTAAAAATATCCTCACCAGCTAAGTCCTGTTTCAATTCTTTCAGGGTCCTTTCTTGCCATGTGATATATTAGTTCCTTCTTTTCCTATTCAGTGAATAGATTCACATTTTATTACACATCCTGATGCAGTATTAAAATGTTCTGGTTTAATAGGAGCTAATAGATAGCATAATTTAGCTTCAATATAAAGTATAAATTATCTAAAACACAGTGTATAATATTTACTAGTATCATACTTTTACTGACTGAACAAATATGAGAAAGCTGAGCTTTGAGACACATCTGTGTAGTAACTTATCAAAGCAATATTCAGTTGCCCGTGAGGTGTATTTGCCAAGAAAATGTACCACCTCTGCTGTCATGTGATTGCAACTCAAATGCTTGGCAACCAGCTCTCACTTAACGATGGTTGCAGTGCTCCATGGTCATGTGATTGCCATTTACATCCCCATCTGGCTGGGGAATTCTGGGAGCTGAAGTCCACACATCTTAAAGTTGCCAAGGTAGAAAAACACTGGCCAAGAGAGAGAAGCTGGCAGGGAAGGCTGCAAGTCACTCTGGTAAGTCCCCCCAGCGCTTGCGTGCCCCCCTCCTTCCCCCGGCCTCCCTCCACTCATGTGGTGTGTTGCCCTCCTTTCCCTGGTGTCCCTGTGCTTGTGCAGTTTTTCAGATAGGTAAATAAACAGGCTACAGGGAGCCATGTATGGCTCATGGGTTGATTACTGTCACCTAAATGAAACTGTTCAGCTTGCTGAGAGTTGTCCACATCTGAATGGATATGGAATGACAGCAGAAGAGAGGGCTCTGGCATATAAATCAAAACAAACCACATCACTGCCCATCAATATTAAATATATTTTAGCATGATCTATATTTGTGAATTAAACCTGTAGAAATATTTTTAAAAGCAAGATCACTTGTACCCAAATACAGTAATCCAGTGTTGTCCAAACTTGGCCACTTTAAGATGAGTGGACTTCAACTCCCAGAATTCCCCAGCCAGCCATGCTGGGGA